CTAAAATAAGGCGGGGATTTGCCTAGCAGAGATTTATAGATGACCTGGAGCCAGTGGGATTGGCGACGAATATGTAGTGAGGGCCAGCCAACGAGAGCGTACAGGTCACAATGGTGGGTAGTACATGGGGCTTTGGTGACAAAACGGATGGCACTGTGATAGACTACACAGTGTTGGAGGCTATTTTGTAAATGACATCGCCGAAGTCAAGGATCGTTAGGATAGTCAGTTTTACGAGGGCATGTTTGGCAGCATGAGTGAAGGAGGCTTTCTTGCGAAATAGGAAGCCGATTCTAGATGTAAATTTGGATTGGAGATGCTTAATGTGAGTCTGGAAGGAGAGTTTACGGTCTAACCAGACACCTCGGTATTTGTAGTTGTCCACATATTCTAAGTCAGACCCGCCGAGAGTAGTGATTCTAGTCGGGTGGGCAGGTGCAAGCAGTGTTCGATTGAAGAGCATACATTTAGTTTTACTAGCATTTAAGAGCAGTTGGAGGCTACGGAAGGAGTGTTATATGGCATTGAAGCTCGTTTGGAGGTTTGTTAACACAGTGTCCAATGAAGGGCCAGATGTATACAAAATGGTGTCGTCTGCGTAGAGGTGGATCTGGGAGTCACCAGCAGCAAGAGCAACATCATTGGTAAACACAGAGAATAGAGTCGGCCCGAGAATTGAACCCTGTGGCACCCCCATAGAGACTGCCAGAGGTCAAGACAACAGGCCCTCCGATTTGACACATTGAACTCTATCTGAGAAGTAGTTGGTGAACCGGGCGAGGCAGTCATTTGAGAAACCAAGGCTATTTAGCCTGCCAATAAGAATGCGGTGATTGACAGAGTCGAAAGCCTTGGCCAGGTCGATGAAGACGGCTGCATCCCACTCCCTTTGCCAAAGATTGAGCCATTTTGCCGGGATCAAGGACTTGACTTCCCTGCGGCACGGTGGGACCGGAATATCTACCCTGCTGGCTTGTCATCTCGTTAGTCAGAAGGTGATATTTAAGAGTGGCTGGCTCAGTGTTCCAGTTAGCTGGATAGATGTGGAGGGTTAACACCTTTAGTGGGCTCTCCCTATTTGATTTCTAAAAAACAATGATTTATTCGATATTCCCTGATTTCGTTTTGCTCCACTTTTTGGTTTGCTTCCTGTCTAAGTTTGATGTGAGTTTTCATTTAGTTTGCCTCTTCTTGGGCAAATTTAGTGGGCGCTCATGGTGGGTGTCTTTTAGGTTCCAGTTGTTGTTGCTAGTCAACTTTCAGTGCACACCCCCATGAGTGTTAGTTCCCCCTTCAGTTTGAGCGACAATTTTTGGTTTCTTGCTGGGGAACATAACACATGTGACATGAACTGGAACATTTCACTTACACCACTATTACATAGACTACTTTTGCCTGTTCATAAATCCTATATGTCATCCATATGGAGCATAACACAGCATTATAAATGCTTTCGGTAAAATGTTCCAGAAAGGGACTCCCATCTGTTCTGACCACAGTTAGTATGAGTTTCTCTAATTGACCCCAAAGCCCAACAGAAGAACAGGTCAGTAGCACCAACACAATCCAGAGCCCACCTCAATGCCTAGAGGATGGGGGATACATATCATATCTCACTGGGGCTTTTAGGGCCTTTCAGTGAGTGCCCACTCCGGAGCTTATCATGCACTCACCACCAGAGAAGTCCATCCACCCATGCTCATGTTTGTATTGATAGGCATGTAGTGGCTAACCTTCCTGATAGCCACTCTAGCACAGGTGGGGTTGCAAATGTTCATAAACGTGTGCAGCACAAACCGCTTTACAATCATAGATCTTTGGTTGGGTCTTTTACCCATTTATTAGGAGCAAAATACAGCAATTATTCCATACTAGTTACAGTAGCCGATATCATAGTTCCAAAGATGTAATTTTTTTTTACAAAATGATTGTCACGTACATAGGTGCAGTGAAATGTGTCAGTATTACGGTGCCCCTGGAGCATATTAGGATTAAGTGCATTGCTCAAGGGCACATCGACAAATGTTTCACCTCGGGTATTCAAAGCAGTGACCTTTATTTTACTGGCCCAACGCTCTGACAGCTAGGCTACTGGCCACCCTAAAAAAAATATATACTGTCACATGCCCTTATGTAAGCATTTATAAAGACTTCAGAACTGGCAGTGGACATGCTAAGTGGACACGGTAAGAACTGTGCATCCTTACTACCTGGTTAACGGTGTGCCTATAAATGTGTCCAGTGACCCATGACCCAACATAGTGTGCCCTCTAGTGTACAAATTAAGTGGAATATACAAACAGAGACAAACTATAGACAACACAACAACCAAATAAGTTAGCCAAAATCTCTCCTACAAGGCATACACTTTTGAGGGATCAAATTCCTTTACAAATAAAGCAAAATGTGGTGAATTTAATATGACCAAGTGTACAATATTCAACGATAAACAGTGTTTATCAACCCTATTCAAGTTATATAGTCAAGTCTTCCATAAACCCTCTGACAAATTAATTTTGGAGTAAGGATAGAATAGGGTGTGTTTATGGACTTTTACAATATGCTGAAACTGAATTTGTACAATAAAGCGTGAAAGCTAGTAAGGATGTGAATGGTAGTACCTTGTATCCAAACAAGTTATTGCTGCCATCTAGTGCTGAGAAGATGTGACAGCAACAGAGGCTAAAGCGTCACAGATCTCTAGGCTCCACATTATCACAATGCAGGGTGACTATGGCATAGAAGTCATGATATGTTGATGAATGTGAACACCACTACACCTAGAACATACTACTAGAGCATCTCTGATTCAAATCACTTTCAAACCACTGGGGATGATGAAACTATTTATACTGAGATTCTGAGTCAATACGGAGAATATGAACAGGGAAATATTTGATGACAGCCTATATACAGAGAACTTCCCAAATGGAATTCCAGGAAGACATTGAATAAAGCTATCCAAACAATGACAGTGACACACCCAAGAGACCCTTTGGATCTCCAAATACAGCCCAGTAAATTAGTTAATAATAGAAAGCATGAGTCATATTCAGAATTGGACATCTGACATGATCAAGTTTTAGAATGTGACCAGGGGGTGTCAGTGAAAGGTTTCGTCATGTGGGTAAGAATGTCCCCCAAATTGGACACATGTTCAATCCCAAATGTAGCCTACGCCACCCTCCATCATAGTATACAGTTGGGATTAGAATAAAATTGGAATTATAATTCTGAATTATAATTCTATAGTTCCATCCTGAAGTGGCAGAACTCCATCCATCTGGTCAGCCTATATGTAACCCCTGGATGTACAGATGAAGACAAGGAATTTATCAGGTTTCAGGGCATTCCATTTAATTTCCAGTCCAGTAATAAAGAATAAATTAGGTTTATAATCTGCAATTGAAAAAACAACCCTGTCTACTTAGTGCAAAAATGACAAGGCCTACCAACCTCATATAGTCCTAGGTCTTTGGAGCATTATCAAACCTGTTTTCGTGGTCCCGTGAGAATAATAATAATAATAATAACCTACTGGAAACATATATTTTATCATCAATGGGGGTAGCCTAATATAGTGCCACTGCGCGTCCAAACATCGGAAAATAGAAAGAGAGTGACTCCGGTGGCCCCGTGTTGAGGGTCTCAGGTTGGGCTCTCAGGTCCCAATCTGTCGTTTCTTTGAAGGGGGCGCCGTTTTCTCTGCAGAATTTCGCCATGCTGACGTTCTGTGGAATCATGTGATTAAGCTCTGGTCCTTCCCAGGGTTCAATGAGCGCTGTTTGCCCCACCCCATCTATTCAGCGCTGTCTATCTCATGTACTGTTCCCGGAGAGAAAGGGAAAAATAATACCTTAAAGAATAGGTTATTCCCGTGTTTCATCTTCCACTACCAGCCCAGGAGGGAACTGTCTTCATAGTGGAATGTGTTATTACAACACGCGTTATATATATGAATGTATATGCACATGTAGGCTCTACCGAGTACCTACCATTCGAATTCAGAAGGAATATAAAACTGAGATTGACAGTGGGCTATAGCTGCAAGAAACGGGAAAATTCGAGGGATTTTCGTATTTTCGTCATGTTTAGAAGAATCAGAACCCATTTAAGAATGTGTTGGGGACTATCAGAGCGCTTTTAGGAGCCTTGCTGATGTGAGGAGGGATACACATTTCAGCAACAAAAGAAAAGACAGCGAAGGGCCTTTTGGATTGAGAAAAACCAGCAAGGAACAGCCATCACAGAAACGGGGGAAAATCAGGAAAATTGAATTATTTCGGGGATCTAAACTGAAAACCGGACTCACCGTTTAGATCGAGGATCATATTATGGATATAAAATGTGTTAAATGAAGACGGAAGCAATGAAAATATTACACATGTAGTTCGTTAAGTGTCAATATTTTTTTCTTTCTACAGTCTGCGCGGAGAAAGGCCGCAGCAAATACGACTTTTCCCAAAGATATGTTTATTCTAACCCGTGTCAAAAAGATCCGTGTCAAATTTTACAGTCGAGTTTTTGTGCCATGCCGATTTTGGGTATTTGTCACAGGCAACAGTGAGACGTGAGACCCGTGCCGTTCGTGAGATGAAAATAGGATATTTTTAATCTCTTCAATTGAATGTGAAAGAGGCAAACCCTTCAATCAACCTTTAAATCTGTGGATGGTCATCTATATCGGTACATAAACGCTGTATGTGAAGACGTTAAAGGCTAATAGAATTGACCAAACTGAGAGGACGGCCTGGGTGTCGTCATCAACAGTATCCTGCCCTCTTTGACAGCAATATCTATTGAAAATACGCATTATATACACATACTTACAAACGCAATAGGACAACGTTTTAAAACAGACATTAGTTCGACGTAACATTAAACAACAGACTGTATACATGTCGTTAATATTGCTCTCAATTCCGTGGGTCAACCGAGGGATCTAGAATAGTTTGTTTTTTCACATTCCCCTTCCCCTGGACTCTCTTTCTTGCGGGAAGATGGGTTGTTTGGGCAACAGTAAGACTGAAGATCAGCGAAATGAGGAGAAGGCACAAAGAGAAGCAAACAAAAAGATAGAGAAACAGCTTCAGAAGGACAAACAGCTATATAGAGCAACTCACAGGCTACTACTTTTAGGTAAATTTGAATGGAATCTGATGTGTTGTAGGCAAGGCCTCATTGGCAACATTGTTTATATTCCTACATGACATGTTATATTTGATGTTGTGATATAGGATTTTGTTTTCTCTGTTTCTTCACATTTGATACATTATGTGGTAGGCCTGTGTGATTGTAACAGCTAGTGCCTAATCTATATGAAACATGGGTGTTGAGCCTCTACATGTGGGTTGTGGCTGTGTTCTCAGAACTACTAGCTGCTTGAAAACTTTCAAATCCATAGGCCTGTGTATTTCGAGGTGGGCCTAAGTGTGAAATAATGAACTCACTCTTTGAGCATTTCTACCACTGACACTTCTGTACTGTTATCATGTAAAAACAGTCTAAATGTCCTCTAAATTATATTTAATTAGAAAATGCCTGAGACCTAGTGTATTGAATGTTATACCAGTATTTCCGTTGGAGAGGAAGTTGTGGTAACTAAAGTAAGCAGAACAGAGTTCACATTTAACCATAATGTCTACTACAATGCTGCTTTATATAGCACTGTGCTCTTTGCACTTTTCTATGATATGACCATTTTTTGTTGTGCCATTGTCAGGTTTTCAGATGTTGGCATATTTGTGAGTTTGAATTTTGTCAGACAGTGGAGATAGAAAACCGACCATGATTAAGCTCATACCATTTGATATCACTGTTATGGGAAAGAAGATTTTCAAATTGAAATTGAGAGTATAGTTGGCACCTTTATGCTTGATTCACGCTATAGGGTCAAGCCGAGCTCTACTGGGCTAGCCTGGTTATGCATCCACCACTGGAACCGTGCTGGAAAGGACAGTGTTAAAAGACTATATCAGAGCCAGTACAGTCCGGGTCAGCCCCATAGGCATTAGAGTGGATCTGTGATGAAGAGCTTCCTTTGTTATTCTCACATGGGGAAGTCCACAAACCTAAACTAGCCAATCTAAAATAATCTATCAGACTTGATAGAGGTTTTATGCCTTACTTTGTGTTAGCATTACACCCCTGGTTATTATTATCATTATTAGATTTCAACAGGTTAATATTGCACTCATTTATTTATATTTTACTGTATGTGTGGATTCACCAAACATCCCCCTATTGTACATTTTTTGCCTCAGACACAGTTGGTCTCACACTCAAGGTAGAAGTTGCCCCTAACCACATCAGTTCATCCAACTTAAATCCAGACCTTAACCAACTGGAGAATACAAGTATATCTGACCCTAGACCAGAGGTTAAGGGCAACCTCTTCCAACTCCTGGCCTCTGTCACTGCTGTGTGAGACCTCAGTCAGGTGGCAGAATAACCCATTTCAATTGGAACTTTTCTGATAGTTCAGCATTTCAAATCTGTGAAATAAACACTATCACTTTGAACATGTCTCTCTTTACAATAACTTTTTTGCAGATTACTTCTGAGCATCACATTCCAAATGGCCATCTCGGTTGGCTGTCAGGATAGTGCAGTGCTCTGTAATCTTTGAAATGTTTCTAACCACCTCTTGTTCTCTATCTCTTTCGTTCGCTCTTTCTCTCTATACCTTTACACAGGGGCTGGTGAGTCAGGGAAGAGCACCATAGTGAAACAGATGCGAATCCTACATGTGAATGGCTTCAATGCAGAGTAAGTATCGTTTTATTCTACAGACTACGTTCCTCAACTGCGAATAAAGATCAGGGTTTGAGATGGGCAGAGGGATAGGGGAAATTCCCAGAGGAACCAAGAATGAAAACATTCAAAACACTAACTTGACCCTTATGCGTCTTTCATGCATTGGTCTTTCAATACCTGAATTGTATAATACACACACTATATGCACCTGTGCTACAGCACATGATGGGAGGGTAATTACAGTTCCCTCGGTTTGGCTTCAATAGCGACTATTACTTACTGTCTAGGTGTCTCGTCTTTATGTTATTTTTTAAATTTTTATGGAAATCTTAGATTGCTGTTGAAGAATTATCAGTACGATTGCATGGACTTCCAAAAATGAAAAGCTAATGTAAAGATGAGGAGTAAACTTATTTTGGAACAAACTCTGTGGGGTTCAAGCCCTGCTTGGTGACGGGTGCTAGTGCATTGGTTGGTGGAGGTTTAAACCCAGGTAAGTAGGTTGGTTGGGGGTTTAGGCCTAAATGTGGGGATGGGTGAGGGTCCATGCCTCTGGGCACTTACATGCGACTTCTGCTATCAGAATACGATGATCGCATTGAAAAGACAAAAGTCGCATTGTGGTATGATTGTGTTCAGATCTGGCTGACCACCTCATTAGGTGGTCAGGGATGCATTGTGTGCGTATTTCTCCTCAGTCTGGACTCAATCAGGCTACCAAAAAGTGCATACAATGGGCGACATCATCAGCACTCCGCCCACAAGTCTCCAGAAAACGTGTGTTTTGGTAGCGAGAGGCACCTTATTATAGTGTTGGAGGACGTACGTTCCTAGCGTGTGAGGAATGTGTTTGCTGTCCTCAAATGCTAGCCAAATAAATAATATTTAGAAAAAAAGTGTTGTTTTACTAGAGTTATGCAAACCCGTTTGCAATCCCTTTTAGCTTTGCTAGCTATCTTGCTGGTTAGCTAAAGAGGTTAGCTGGCTAATTAGCTACAGTAGTTAGCTTCTGCCATCAAGTAGTTGTTGTGTTATCACATTTAGCCTTTTCCACCGTTTGCAGAATGCATACTGGCATTTGAATATAACGCGGGAAAATGGAATCCGGACACAATGTGGACACATTTAAATGTAGGTGTAGACGCATGATGTGTTCGGAATTCCATGATCAGAATACAAAAATGGCATTAACTGTCAAGTCTAGATACAGCCTCTGTGCGTTGGTGGGTTGGGTTTTAGTCCCCAGTTTGTGGGGTTAGGTTTGACGGTTCAGGCTCTGGCATGGTGAGTGGCTTGGGTTAGATGAGCAAACCAGCACCTAAGGCACCCAGCAGCGTGTGACCCATCTCGTGACTCCATAACACTTACAACTGCTGTGTGTGTGTGTGTGTGCGCGCGAATATGCTCAGTTCGTCACTTGGTCACATCCTAGATCCAGGGTGTCAAACATACGGCCCGGGGGTAGTTTGACTAAAACATTTTAATAATACTTATTTGATTTTTTGGTTGGGGGAAAACAAACTCAATCTACTTTTAAAATGACTAAAACCAAATCGAAACTGTGTAGAAATTATAATGGACCTACATTCATACAGTTTCATGACTGTCCAGCTCGCTAAAAATCACAGAAATTAAAGCTAGACAGTCAAGAGAATCAAATTCCAAAAACGATGCAAATTTTGACGGTGAAGAAATATGACCAATTTTCAGTGTGGCCCTCTGGACCTCGTTGAAGACCGAATGCCGCCGCCCCCCCGGGCAAAATAGGTTTGACACGCCTGTCCTAGACATTTCAAACATAAATTGATTAGTTGGTTGTGTCTGTGTGTTAAGTTAGCTGTACTGTATATAACTTCAACTCTATGGTATTTGCAATGGATAAAATGTAGGGCAGTGTGACTGACTTCTTGAGCAATGTTTTCTCGTCAGTCCTGGAGGAAAAGATACTGTACAAGGAAAAGGAATATAAGGAATTCCAGGAGGTGTTTGGTAGATTCCTTCAATCCTGGTGTATGATGTTTTTGCATTCAGTAACTTCCATTGAACTTCTATAGGCCTAATAGCATGATAGCTCATCCATTTGTGAAACAAATATATTTTGATTATTTTGTCTTCTTTAGTACATTCTTAGAAAAAGCTAGACACTGATGTATACACTAACACATGCTTTCTCCTTCCTTCAAGTTGTTGCCTATTCTCTCTCTCCGAACACAGACACACACCTACAAGCGAACACATGCTACTTTGTAATAGCATGTGATTTTTAATGACTATCATGTTGAAAATGTAAACAAGGCCTTCTCAATCTACCTCCTAACCCAATAAACAAGACGGTATGCCTGTGTGGGATACAGGCCCTTCTGCTGGCTGTTGCCTATTCTCTCTACTTTCTCTCCCTTCTCTCGCACCCTTTCCCTTTCTATCCTTTTATCTCTCTATTTGTCGGTGTACCTCTTTCTCCTTCACATTCTCTCCCTTACTCCTTGAATGCTGTTTGTGTTTTTGGTGTAAATTAAACATCAGTGGTAGTGCACAGTCTGTGATGGGTACTGCTCAGCAGAACGGTTGTTTTACAATTTAGTTGTACATTGAAACAGTCTAGTAATGGGCTGTTGCAGCTCAGTTACCACTCTTACAAGTGGGGTCATGCTTGACATGGGATCATTTGTAGCTATCGTAGCAGGTAGAGTGTAGACACTGGGAGACTGTGACCTGTTAAATATGAGTTTCACATAGTTGAAGATGTGTGTGGCAGGTTCAGAAGGGATGATGTTGAGGTATTGTGCATGTGTGCCAGCTGTTTATAGACTATTATCCACATACATTTTAGTTTTTTGTTTGCTGTATCATCAATATATCTGTTGTGTATGACAAAATGATATTTGTAATTTACAACGTGGAAGATTGAGCTTCGATGTTTTTTTGCAGAGAGAAGAAGCAGAAAATTCACGACATCAAGAATAATATTAAAGAAGCTATTGAGGTAAGTTTTCGGTTTGAATATCACTGTGGGTAGGAAAATCTAAACAGCTAAGCATGAATCATCAATATTTTATCAATGATTATTGAATATAAGATACCCCAAGACAATCCTGTGTTGTCACTTGATCTGTATTGATTGTGTGTGTTTGTGTCACTCTTTAGACCATAGTAGCGGCTATGAGTACACTGACTCCTCCCGTTCAGCTCGCCAGTCCACACAACCAACATCGAATCGATTATGTCCTCAACCTAGTCAATCAGAAGGACTTTGAATTCACATCTGTGAGTATGACAATGTTTCTACCACCCACACACACACAGAGATCATTATATATTGGCATTGTCTTTTCATGAATGTACAGTATATACACGCCTGTGTGAGTGAGCACATGATTTTTTGTGTGTACTGTGCATGTGCACATATCTAAAGTGCCTTCAGAACATATTCATACCCCTTGACTTATTCCACATTTTGTTGTTACAGCCTGAATTCAAAATGGGTGAGGAAAACAAATCTATTTAATCCATCTACACACAATACCCTATAATGACAAAGTGAAAACAAGTTTTTAGAAATGTTAGCAAATTTATTGAAAATGAAATACAGAAATATCGCATTTATGTAAATATTCACACCCCTGAGTCAATACTATGTAGAAGCACTTTTGGCAGCGATTACAGCTGTGAATCTTTCTGGGTAAGTCTCAGCTGGTAGAGCACGGCGCTTGTAACGCCAAGGTAGTGGGTTCGATCCCCGGGACCACCCATACACAAAAATGTATGCACGCATGACTGTAAGTCGCTTTGGATAAAAGCGTCTGCTAAATGGCATATTATTATTATTATTATTATTATAAAAGCTTTCCACACCTGGATTCTGCAACATTTGCCCATTTATTTTCAAAATTCTTCAAGCTCTGTCAAATTAGTTGTTGATCATTGCTAGACAACCATTTTCAGGTCTTGCCATAGATTTTCAAGTAGATTTAAGTCAAAACTGTAACTCAGCCACTCAGGAACATTCACTGTCTTCTTGGTAAGCAACTCCAGTTTAGATTTGGCATTGTGTTTTAGGTTACTGTCCAGCTGAAAGGTAAATTAATCTCCCAGTGTCTGGTGGAAAGCAGACTGCACCAGGTTTTCCTCTAGGATTTTGCCTGTGCTTGGCTCCATTCCGTTCTTTTTTATCCTGAAAAACTCCAGAATCCTTAACCATTAGAAGCATACCCATAACATGATGCAGCCACCACTTTGCTTGAAGATATGGAGAGTGGTACTCTGTAATGTATTGGATTTGCCCCAAACATAACACTGTATTCAGGATAAATAGTTAATTGCTTTGCCACATGTTTAGCAGTATTACTTTAGTGCCTTTTAGATGCATGTTTCGGGAATATTTGTATTCTGTAAAGGCTTACTTCTTTTCACTTTGTCAATTAGGCTAGTATTGTGGAGTAACTATGTTGTTGATCCATCCTCAGTTTTCTCCTATCACAGCCATTAAACTCTGTAACTGTTTTAAAGTCACCATTGGCCTCATGGTGAAATCCCTGAGCAATTTCCTTCCTCTCTGGCAACATAGTTAGGAAGGACGCCTGTATCTCTGTAGTGACTGGGTGTATTGATACACCATCCAAAGTGTAATTAGTGACTTCACCATGCTCAAACGGATATTCAATGTCTGCTTTTAAAGGTTTTACCCATCTACCAATAGGTGCTCGACTTTGTGAGGCATTGGAAAACCTCCCTGGTCTTTGTGGTTGAATCTGTGTTTGAAATTCACTGCTCGACTGAGGGACCGTACAGATAATTGTATTTGTGTGGATTTGTAAACATTTCGAAAAACATAATTCCATTTTGACATTATGCGGTATTGTGTGGAGGCCAGTGACCAAACATGTATATTTAATCCATTTTAAATTCAGGCTGTAACACAACAAAATGGGGGGAAAGTACATTCTGAAGGCACTGTACATGTTCCCTTAGGAAGGCCCATCCACTAGTATAATAATAATATTATAATATGCCATTTAGCAGACGCTTTTATCCAAAGCGACTTACAGTCATGTCATGTGTGCATACATTTTTACGTATGTAGTAGTCCCTGTTGCAGGTGCCAGCCTCATGGTACTGGTAGCTCTTTTGGGTTGTGGTACAGTAGTAATTAGCAGGTAGGGCCTCTATGGGATGCCCCTTAGCTAATTGACTGCCCTGAGGGAAGGCCTGGAGGTCTCTGAGTACCACTGCTTGACACTGATTGTGCCTTTAACGCCCTAAATATCTCTCTGGGACCCACGTGTCTGTGTCAGTGTCACTGGGACCCACACCTGAACAACAGAGTGCTTGCTGGTAGTCTTCAGGCTGTTAGGACTTGGCTGGGAGGGACATAGGACTCTATTCAAGTTAAGCAGGTAGCAGGTTTCTGGATAAGTCAAAAACATAATCCATTTAATTGAATTTATAATGGCTTTATCAATGCATTGGGAACTTTGTTATATATTGATCACAGAAACCTTAACGGATTTGATTGAATAGTGTGCACCACAGTGAGTTTTACTTACCCCTAGGACAGACAACAACATGTTGTCACTCATCAAAATGAAAACAACCGATAGGTTAATGCTTTGCGTATATTTTGCTGTTATTACGTGTTAATTTAGATCCACTTAAGAGTCTTAGGCTGATACAAAATGATCTATTACGATTGAATGGTTGCATCCCTACCATTGCGCCATAGACAGTTATTGAAGATTGCTTTGTCTTTTTTCTGGGCCTAGTACACCTGCCATAACATCTCTCTCTGAGTTTGGATGTCTAGGCCTACGTGTGAAGGCGATGTGATTGTCTGCTATCTTGCTCTGTGGTGTTTGGATGTCTGTGATTTTAGCTCCTGATGGAGGGGAGTTGGGGAACTCTAAGGTCAGACAGTGTAACTCTTTCTCTCCCTCCCTCCCTCCCTCCTCTCTGTCACCCCCCAGGCTGAGAGGAAACCGGTTCTACTGGTCACCTGATCTCAGAGTACATGTAGAAAAAAAGAGAGGATGAGGAAAAGGCCTTTAGAAGTGGGGGTATCTGGGGGTAGAAGTGGGGGCATCTGGAAGTAGAAGTGGGAGTATCTGGGGGTAGAAGTGGGGGCATCTGGGGGTAGAAGTGGGGGCATCTGGGGGTAGAAGTGGGGGTATCTGGGGGTAGAAGTGGGGGTAGTTTGTACGGGTATCTACTGTCTGGGCTATTCACTTCCAGTTAATTTAATGTTTTAAGGTGTCGTTTTTGTTGTGGTATGGGATTTATTTTCAGACTGCTGATTTCTCGACTGATGATAATGGAAGTCTTATGGGTTGTCTAAACGCCAGTAAAATGTACATTTTCTAAAATGCAAAGCTACCAGGGACCTCACTTCGTTTCTCATTTCTCTCGCTACATGAAGCTATTGTAGTAGTGTTTACCATAGAGTTAGAATGCTATTGAGGAGATGCCCATTCAGCCACATTTTGCGTAAGGTTTTTGTGTAGCACATGCTACGTTATAGGTTGTTGTTTAGAAACCAGGAAAAAGCAACCAGCCATTGAAACGGAGCCATGGCCTTCTGATAAACCTCAACTTGACAATTGTCCCATTGCTTCAAAAAATTGTTAAAGCAAAATCAAGCTCCCTGTGATATATTTTGCAAAACAATAACATTAGTGTATTTGAGAAAGCCCATCCCAAAGAATGAAATGGAAATTATAAAAAAATTAATTAAAGGAAAGATGGCAATTTCCTTTCTTTTTCGGCATTAGACCTGCCTAATTCTCACTTAAAACATAGTTTTTGTTTGTAATAGGCTAAATCACACATTCTGTTAACATCTGACTCCAGAGTGATCTATTCTTGCAATTTGTAGTCTATGACATTCCAGATTTAGATATCATAATTTTTTCACAAAGTAGTTTGGATGTAGTGAACTACTTTTTCTAAGTAACTTTAGTTCATTTCAACTGTATTTTTCTTAAGAGTAGCCTTAGTGTAGCTTAACTTCTTCCAGCGTGAAGTAATTGGTAGCTTGGTAAACTGTATTTTCAGAGTAGCTTCCCGAACACTGCAAGCCAGTGAGCAGGAGGGAAACAATATAGCATTGAGTTGTAGCCCCAAAGGATTCTGGGTCGGCTGCTGTAATGCAATAAGGAGTTACTAGAGAGGAGTTTTTTTTTTCTCAAGCGCATGACTGATAATAAAGGAGGACTCTGTTACTAAGACACATAATGAGTGCTCTTTTATGGAGATGGATGCATGGATTTCAAGTAACCCAAGCCAGCGAAAAAGTGGGACAAATATATTGGGCAGCGAAACCTAAATGTTATGCGAGTGTGTGTGGCCCAATTGTTCCACAAATGTCCAGTTGTCCAAAAGCATTTATTTTATACATGACACAGTTTCCTGTTTACCTTCATGGTCCAAATGGAGAAGAATGAAGGGAGATTTGAGACTAACTACCTTTCCATGTGCTTTTTAGCCCTCTGAATGTTGTCCATGGGGCAGTCACTCTGGTCCTTGATAAGCTATGTGAACATTCCCACTTTATGCAAAGGTTTTATCAAACAAGGATGTAACAGATTAGCCATTAGATATGACAGTTGACTCCTCTGTTTACACCTGCACCACTTTTGTTTGTCGAGTCAATGCAATTAAATATGATTCATTCAATATTATATGGGATTTTGACATGATTATTTAGGGGTAGGTCCGTGATACCTGCCAAAGATAAGTCAACTGACCCTCCCAAGCCTGTCGACCATATGCAATCTTAATTTCTCCTCATTGAAGGAAACGTTGAAAAACATGCCTTGTTTTTACTTGATTTAAGGCACAATCTAATTTCAACGGCCTGACTATGCCACTTGGTTTTTGCTATATTGAAGCTCCCCTTGGCCGTTACCCTCACTGGCCACAGAACCTGTTCTCCAGTCAATAAATGCCAGATCCCTAATAGGTGTGCTGCCCTATTGGAATGTCATTCTTCCCACCCATATTCACCTTTTCTGCATGTACACACGCTCTAGCCAAGCACAAAGGACACAGCGTGTGGTGTCAACAAAGATGCCGCACATCGCAGTGCCCTCAAACACAGCATGGATGGACAGTGTCCTCTTTTTCGACTTGCTTTAATTCAGTTGATCCTCTCTCTCTCTCGTCCTCTCTCACATTCTCTTTCTCCCCATGTATTTCTCTTTCAGGAGTTTTATGAAAATGCGAAGACTCTCTGGCAGGACGAGGGCGTGAGGGCGTGTTTTGAGAGATCCAATGAGTACCAGCTGATCGACTGCGCGCAGTAGTAAGTATGCACTGCACCGCACGCCGAGAGAGGACCAGCAGTCTTTAGTAGCTCCAGTGCCCTTATACAGGCCTGTGTTGCTGAAAATAAACAGTATAGGCCAAAGATTAGGGGCACGTATAGCACAGTACCCAAACTGAAATGTATTCAATTTCATCTGAACTTTATTGTACAAAGCAATTTCCTTGAGACTGTTCTGATTTTCTGTGACATAATGGGCAAGTGTTCTGCCTGAAAAATGGCCCTTGATGTTTTATGTATTCCTATTGTTGTGGTTGAGGGTCTGTGTAAAAGGACCCGGGAAGTGGTGTGTGGACGCAGAGCTCTGTAATGGAAGTCCTCATGAGCTCACACTCTTACTCTGCATCTCCTCATCGCGTCTCAGTGCACGCACACCACAGTATGACATCACCAGAGCTGTCTGCATCAACAATGCCACCTCTCTCTGGCTATGCGTCTCTCTGCCGCTCTCCCTCGTACTCTCTCGCTCCACGCTCTCTCACACACATTCTCTTCTTCTCCTTCTTTTCCTCTCCTTCATGCTTTCTCTCTCAACTGTTGTGTGGCTCCATCTCCGCATCTGTGATGTAGGATATTTGCAGCGACAGGGACCAAAAATGGCAGGTCCTGAGTCATAAGACGGGAGATACAGAGATTTCACCAGTGGTTGGATGGGGAGGGGGGGGGGGGGGGGGGGGGGAGTACACCACTAAACCACAGTGACTGGAGCCTCAGAGTTAAATCTGTTATGGTGGTGTTTGATTTGAGCTGATTGTATAAAACAAATACATGTGCTAATGTTTGAAGAAATAGTGCTGTGTATTGGATTGTGTTACTTAACAGTCTAGGACAACCCCTTCAGGTGGTTCAGATGGTCCAGTCCAGTTTTGGTCCCTCCCTCTCTCTCCTGCTCTCTCTTTCTTTCACTCACTCTCCTCCACTCTTTCTTTCTTTCACTCACTCTCCCACTCTTTCACTCACTCTCCCACTCTTTCACTCACTCTCCCACTTCCTCTCTCCCAGTCCCTCTTTCTCTCTCTCTTGCTCCCTCTCTTTTTTTCTCTTGTTCTCTTCTTTTTCTTTCTCTCCCTCTCTCAGGCTACTCTAGTCACACAAGATTTTGAGCTGATAGTCTATTTATAGAGCCTGTAGTTCTGTCTCTATGGCAACCATGCTGGAGGCCAGGGAGCTATTTTTGAATCTGCTCTGTAATGTCAGACACTACTTTCTCTCTCCCTCTCTCTTTCACACACAAATACACACACTTTTTCAATTGTACTCCCTTCCTACCTATCCCCCTCCCTCTCTTTCTTACCTCTCACTCTACGCCTTGCCTACCACTTCCTCTCTCCCCCTCCCACTCAGTCTCATCTCTCTCCCAGTGCCAGATGTCTGTGTTTGTCTTTTGGGTTCAGGCCGGTGGGCTAGGTCAGGTTTGTGAGTGTGAACCCTTGTGGAAGGAGAGCTTACAGCTTTTACAACATTATTCTATAACGTGTAGGAAAGGAAAATAGTTCATCTCCACACCTGTGTTCTTCTGGAGTCTGCAGTTATCTCTGGCCATCTTTGTTGCCATAACAAAGAATGGTAAATGCGCACGTACACACACATCATCTCTTTGTGTGTTTGTCCTAGTTGGGGCTGGGCGATATGGCCTAAAAATCCTCTAACTTTTTTCAAACTTATGGGCGATCCACGATATATATCGTGTATATATATATATTTTTTCTCTAAATAAGCATGGTTGTACAATTTAAATGTCAAATGCACCGCATTTCAAACAGTCAGCAATAATCTAATGAATTCAGGGTTTGTGAAGTTATACCTAGGCTAAATGTAAGCCTTCCACAACCATAAGACCCACTAATAATTTCATTCGTTTATCAAAATAGTTTAACCTGATTTTTTTGGTGCAATAATCACTGATCTGGCTTTCAAGTCTGGCTATGAAAATGGCCTTTTTTGTTATAAATTTAACTAGAACAATGCATAATGCACATTCACTAATAATGACCAACATTTTGTAGCAGGCATTAGGCTATAGAAAATTAACACAGGTCTCATCAACAATCTCTCAAGCCCACTTGCTAGTGATTAGCCAGCTAATCTTTTATATTTCAAGTTTAGCCAATTTGGATCTATTTGCTAGCTAACAAGGTTGAACAGTTGAACTGTTATGAACACACCCTTCTGTCTGTCTCCAACTGTTTGAAAAGCATGTTAGCCTGTCCACGTTGTTCAGATGTTGAAATCAAGTGGCCTACATTATTTATCAGAATGAGAACGAGTTGCCAATTCCTTATATAATTGTGTTTTATGCTTTATGCACATTTATAAAACACAGACTAGACAACCAGTATAACAAAATACTGCTAGCGGTACATGGTACACCAATGCCGCGCGCGACAAACTGAGCATTGTTTTCCCAGAATCAATGTACATTGATACGCTCGTTTTAGTAGTGTCTGCTCTGTGCGCAATTTGAGTAGTTGCGACATAAGGGTATCGTTCGAAAAGTTAACTTATCCTCTATTACAGTAAAATAATGTGTTATGGTGGCCATATGACCGATTCTGTTGGACCAAACCTCAAACGCAAATAGCGCGTTGAAACCGCTTGTCAGAGAGGAAGATTTCATCTCTCAACTTTGTTGGCGTGAGAGGCAAGGGGAGGGGCTTGTTGTGTGTGTAAACCAAAGAGGCAGAGGCGAAGCGAGAGGTTTCACTCTCGCTAAAAATCTGTCCAAAATAAGGCCAACGCGTTTCTATTGGCTTCTTTTGGATTTAAGCTTGTCGCCTCTACCTTCCCGCCTTTCAGACAACGACTCCCATTGTTAGGGCGGAGACGTGCATCTCGTCATTATATACAGATCTCTGGTGTAAATGGGAAGGTGCACACAGCACAGAAGCGCAGACGAGCGAAGGAGACGAGACCAAAAATACAACATGAGTACAAGCGGACATAAACGCTCATATAAACGAAAAAATAACAAAACCTCGATTCTTGCGATACAAGGATTTTGAATGTCGCGCAAAAACATAAATAAAACTATATCAAATAAATTTGAGATATCGCACAGCCCTAGTCCCTTTGTCTCACCCAGTGAGTGCCGACTCATTCATGCCATGTCTCACCTGTAGTTAGGCCTGGCCCATTCCACCCCACCATGTCACATTCCTGGTTATCCAGAGGCTCGGCATTCCTCTGTGTTCAGTATGCTTGGGAGACCGGGCCAGCATTGTTCTGTCACGCACTGTTGGTACAGTTTGTGATGTTCAGTTGTATTAGCCACTCTATAGGGACTGTTTAAACCCAAGTGAAATATCAGTTAACATTATATATTTGAATGGGACATTAGTCTCAAAGTCAGTATGACTACAGGACTAGAACCATTGCCATTCCTGTCATCTGTAAGTGTCTCTACAAATGACGTATATGCTAGTGTTTCTCTCCACCTCCTTGTTCCTGACCTGGACTGACACTGGTCCCTGGGATGTTACTAACTGGCTGCTCAGTTAGTTAGCTGACACTGATTCGAATCAGTTCTCAAGTTAACTAAAGGACAACAATACTTAATGTACATGTAGTTAAATAATTCTACATATATTCCTAATTTCCTCTTTCTGCAAGTGCTGGATTTTAACCCACAGCGGTCAATCCACCATTCACTGGGATCTTAACTCCAACACTCTGATGTCCACAGATTAACCCATCTTTCTCACTATAGTGCTATTTCCTTTTGCGATACATCGCTCTATTTTACTGTGATGTCTTACGAGGGTCTTGAACCTCCCTATTTGTAACATTTCTACCGAAATTGCCCTAAAAATACATATTTTACACAAGAGTGTAATGATAGTTCCCATTTACTGATTGTGGTTTTTCAGATCCCCTAACAATACAGTTTTCATGTCCATCTGAACCCTGATATTATGACATAACAACCATTCCTGGACCTGACTCCAAAAGCGAGCCACCGGTGGATAGTATCAGCACAAGGCTGACTTTTCAATGCCCCATATATTGAGCATTCTTTTTGTAGCAAGAATTTTATATAATAGCTTAAATTAAAATGACCAGATTGATTGTTTTAGATATCAGATAATAGACCCGATGCCAAGGTATTGGGACATCAAAGACCTGTTCCCAAGTAACTTGAATTTTATACGGCATTGCTGTCTCAAGTCCTACTTGTCAAGTCCTAGTTTTTATCTAAGTTGGCCTCCAAAGAGGAAGGAGTGATGGCTTACTGCAGGTCAGTCCCTCCCTAGCAGAAAAATAGTTGGAGAAACACAGGTCTATATAATTCTATTGAGCTCAGTGGTCTCTACCTGTCCACACACAGAAAAGCTTCCCATAATGCTCACTCACTGATGAGAATTCCATCATTTTGTCCTTTCCTGTTCATCCTCCTGAATCTCTGTTTCTTTCTTCTCCTCAGCTTTCTAGACAAGATTGATATTGTGAAACAGAGTGACTACACTCCCACTGATCAGGTGAGTTTCCGTGGTCTCAGTGCCGCCATCACCAGACGCCCAGGGATACATCTCAAATGGCACCCTGTTCCCTGTACAATGCACTACTTTTGGCCACTACTGTCCCTCCATCATCAACTGCCTTTCATAATATTTATAAATATAACACAGATTAATGACTCCTGTCTCTCTCTCTCGTCTCTCAGGACCTACTGAGATGCCGAGTGCTCACCTCTGGGATCTTCGAAACCAGATTTCAAGTGGACAAAGTAAATTTCCAGTGAGTATAACCCGGGGTTATCGTCCCATTCGGTTATTAGTACAATACCTGAAGAGCAATCTCCAACTCAGCCCTGCAGACGTTTAGGAGTCCATTCAGTGCAGCTAACATGTGATTCATCACTATGCCACAAGGTGGTAGTGTGTGATATATTGGTCTCACTTTGCCATTTCTTCCATAGCATGTTTGATGTTGGTGGTCAAAGAGATGAACGTCGGAAATGGATCCAGTGCTTTAACGGTAACACTTGTTTTTCCAATTGATCTGGCCAACCCAATAGAGAATAACTCACAAACACAATTCAGATCTCATTTATAGATGTCTTTATTTTTAGTCTAGACGGGTCCTAGTCTGTAGCCTCGTTCCACTAAAGGTTTCCTGTATTTTCCTACCTATTTACCATCACCTTTGCTTTTCTGCTATGCCTGTGTGTTTCGAGCTTAGGCTTAAAGCGAAGTGCCTTTTGACTGTGTCATTGATTGCACATTACAAAACCAGTTTGTCTGAGTCCTTCCTCCCTCTGTCTTCCCCACAGATGTAACAGCCATTATTTTCGTGGTGGCCAGTAGCAGCTACAACATGGTGATCCGGGAGGACAATCAGACCAACCGTTTACAGGAGGCTCTCAATCTATTCAAGAACATCTGGAACAACAGGTGACACACAAACGCACGCATGCATGCACACACACCAATGGCAGTCGGTGCTGTTCGGAGTCCATTCTTTCATTTTTTAATGAGCATGGCCTTATTTCTATTACAGCATATTGAATGACTGTCATTCATATTCCATTCGCCCAGCTCAGGTTTAGGCTACTACATGATACTTGAATTTACCCTATACCCATCATGAGGTTACTACAACCTAGCCTACAAATGAAAGTTTATAACGTAGGTGCACAGGTCAAGAGACAAATTGGAGTAATCAAGGTGACAGACAGTGAGTGACACATTCAATAACGCCTTGCATACTGTTGCCTGCATCTAGCTAATCTGGGGTGTAATCATTAGTCTACTTAAACAAGAGTTTCTATTGGAGAAATTCAGGTAGGTCCCTCCTAGGGCTGTGGTGGTCATAACATTTTGTCAGCTGGTTATTGTCATGCCGGTCTCACGGTAATTGACCGTTAATTAACATAAACACGTTTAGCATCACCAGGCCTCCACGCATACAAGCTGCATACAAGCCGCTGATGCACGCCTTTGGAACATCTACATAAAAAAAAGTATATTCAATCAATTTAATATACACCATCACAATAAATCCAATATTTATTTTAGTCAGGTCTAAAGAAACATTATGATATGAATATTTTTTTTCTTCAGAAGAACAGAATATGAGTTGGCCTACTGTATGTTACCTGGCTATGCTCCATGCCATAGGCTGTAAGCTTGTTCATTTAGCAGACAAGATATGATTATAAGTACCTGGCCATTATTTTATATGATATGATTTTATAGTAAGAAGAATATAATTGAATAAAATAGAAAGGATATTTTTCCCATTCTGGAGCGAGAGTGCGCGCATATGAAGTGGCTATGTTGAGCGTAAAAGTGATAATTTGAAACAGGTCCTAAATGCTAGATTTAGAGTTATCTGGCAACTGTAGTGGTGAATGATACAAATCTTAGAGTGCCTTAGAAATCAAAAGATATTTGAGCTGCATGATGCGACTATAGGCTGTTGATGATTTGAGAAAGTCGTCCAAAAATGCTTGCGCTCTGTTCCTTGCTGTACACGCTCTTCTCTCATCAAGTGATCATATTTTCACCCGTCAGACTATTCTCAATTTAATCTAGTCTTTACTAATATGTACAGTTAGTTTAGATTTTGAATGGGCAAGAATAGGGACAAGACAAAAAAGAGGTCTGGAATAGCGATTGGAGGCCACTTTCCCGCCAGTACGTTTTTCACTCATGTCGGTGCTGCACTACAGGTAATATTCCGCCCAAACTCTGTATGCCATGGCCTTTACCCAGTGCTTAATTTGGGAAACCAAGTGAAATCTGTTCTGCAACATCGATAGTAACATGTTTTCACAATGAAACATATTTCATTAAACTGTTGAAAGCCCCTCTCTCTGCGCGCTGGAAAAAGGAATGAAGGAGAGAGGGGAGGAGATGGAAACTCACGGTGGTGAGATGTCAGCCTATTAATTATGAAAATGTATATATTTTAAATGCCCTATTACTAGGATATTCAAAATAAAATACAAATGCACTATAATTTTAGACTAGATCTGAATTTGTTTAATTTAGGCTGGACCAATTATCTACCAAAGGTACCTTAAATCAGTATTTCTTTATGTTTTTCTGCCAGGTGTAATATGCGGTAGGGTACATAATTATTTTAATTCAGGGGGTTTTTCGGGCTTGGACTCATACAGTGGGGAAAAAAAGTATTTAGTCAGCCACCAATTGTGCAAGTTCTCCCACTTAAAAAGATGAGAGAGGCCTGTAATTTTCATCATAGGTACACGTCAACTATGACAGACAAAATTAGAAAAAAAAATCCAGAAAATCACATTGTAGGATTTTTAATGAATTTATTGGCATATGATGGTGGAAAATAAGTATTTGGTCAATAACAAAAGTTTCTCAATACTTTGTTATATACCCTTTGTTGGCAATGACACAGGTCAAACGTTTTCTGTAAGTCTTCACAAGGTTTTCACACACTGTTGCTGGTATTTTGGCCCATTCCTCCATGCAGATCTCCTCTAGAGCAGTGATGTTTTGGGGCTGTCGCTGGGCAACACAGACTTTCAACTCCCTCCAAAGATTTTCTATGGGGTTGAGATCTGGAGACTGGCTAGGCCACTCCAGGACCTTGAAATGCTTCTTACGAAGCCACTCCTTCGTTGCCCGGGCGGTGTGTTTGGGATCATTGTCATGCTGAAAGACCCAGCCACGTGTCATCTTCAATGCCCTTGCTGATGGAAGGAGGGTTTCACTCAAAATCTCACGATACATGGCCCCATTCATTCTTTCCTTTACACGGATCAGTCGTCCTGGTCCCTTTGCAGAAAAACAGCCCCAAAGCATGATGTTTCCAACCCCATGCTTCACAGTAGGTATGGTGTTCTTTGGATGCAACTCAGCATTCTTTGTCCTCCAAACATGACGAGTTGAGTTTTTACCAAAAAGTTATATTTTGGTTTCATCTGACCATATGACATTCTCCCAATCCTCTTCTGGATCATCCAAATGCACTTCAGACGGGCCTGGACATGTACTGGCTTAAGCAGGGGGACACGTCTTGCACTGCAGGATTTGAGTCCCTGGCGGCGTAGTGTGTTACTGATGGTTGGCTTTGTTACTTTGGTCCCAGCTCTCAGCAGGTCATTCACTAGGTCCCCCCGTGTGGTTCTGGGATTTTTGCTCACCGTTCTTGTGATCATTTTGACCCCACGGTGTGAGATCTTGCATGGAGCCCCAGATCGAGGGAGATTATCAGTGGTCTTGTATGTCTTCCATTTCCTAATAATTGCTCCCACAGTTGATTTCTTCAAACCAAGCTGCTTACCTGTTGCAGATTCAGTCTTCCCAGCCTGGTGCAGGTCTACAATTTTGTTTTTGGTGTCCTTTGACAGCTCTTTGGTCTTGGCCATTGTGAAGTTTGGAGTGTGACTGTTTGAGGTTGTGGACAGGTGTCTTTTATACTGATAACAAGTTCAAACAGGTGCCATTAATACAGGTAACGAGTGGAGGACAGAGGAGCCTCTTAAAGAAGAAGTTACAGGTCTGTGAGAGCCAGAAATCTTGCTTGTTTGTAGGTGACCAAATACTTATTTTCCACCATAATTTGCAAATAAATTCATTAAAAATCCTACAATGGGATTTTCTGGATTTTTTTTTCTCAATTTGTCTGTCATAGTTGACGTGTACCTATGATGAAAATTACAGGCCTCTCTCATCTTTTTAAGTGGGAGAACTTGCACAATTGGTGGCTGACTAAATACTTTTTTGCCCCACTGTATATAGGCTTATGCATAACCTCTAACATGCATATTGGTGTTTTTAATTAATAATCACTGTAGAAAGCGCTGACCATTTCGTTGTGTTAGATTTTGAAACAACATCTTAAAACACCAGGTTTCCCACTCAGTTTCAACTTGTTGTTGAACTTCTTTCTTCAAATTGATCAATCACAGTGAGGTGAGTTTTAAAAGCACATACTGTTTTGATGATAAGTGTTTGAGGTGATTTTTGATGACATTTGCATTGATGTCAGAGTGGTTAGAGGGACAATAGAGCTCTGAGTACCAGGCCATTAGGACCTGATGGTAGTTAGCGAGTTAACTAGCTTGTGTTGTAGTAGTGAGACAATGGCGATGGTGGCTGCAGCAGCTGTTATCAATTTTAAGGTGGATGTTGTTGCTAATTTGTAGCATCACCCTTTTCAAGATTAATTTTCAAACTTCGTTTACAAATTATCATCTGAGTGGCCCTTTTTTGTAGCAGCTTGCAACCGGGCTATCTCTTTGAACATTATAACTGTGTTGCATTTAAACTTTAGATCACCAGTTAGTGTGAAGAATGTGATCAAATATATTTGCAATGGGAAGTAATAGCTGGTTTGTTAATTTCATTTTGGAAATGAAATGGTTGTGCTTTTGTATTGTTATGATTTCATGGGGCCTACTGGAGTGAATGGGCTGCTTATTCTTTAACATGATTTGATGCTGTGTGTGACTATTGTCGCCTGTCTATCAGCCCGGTCTATGTGTTTCACCAAAACTGGCTCTTCTTCAGCCCAATGGAGTGCACAGGTATTATGGTCGCTGTCCTTTCAGCACCATGAGCCTGTAACCTCTGATGTGACACTGTTGTTTATGCTATTGGTGATAGTCTGATAGTGGTGTTAGGGTACCATAGGTTGTGTAAACAGTGTCGCATTATTTTATGCTATGTGTCACATGTTGTGTCCACTGTCCAAACCGGTTCTGTTTCTGTGTGTGCGCAGCCCGAAGCGCGGCCAGGCCTGTTTGATTCATTCATACAACTAGAATGGACTGACTACATAAGATATGTCGGGCACATTTAAGTGATGGTATATTTTCTGTTATGTTATTTTGGAGTTTGATGCGATGTATTGGAAGATTTTTGGTCCCTCTGAATGCCTAGATCCTATAGTCACGGTTCTACACTGTATTAATGTTATAGTCAACAAACTAGAACTAAGGTGTTAGTAAACCCCAAATCCAATCCATGTGTACAATCACACAGTACGATGTACAGCAAGCAGTTTAGCAGTTACACCGGGAGCCCCGGTGGCAATAAGTTAATAAAACCGAAAGCTTACCTTGACATGAAAGAGTTGCAGTGTTGGATAGTCTTAGCCAGCTAGCTAACATAAATAGCATTCCTCTCTGTTTGAGTCAGGTTGTTGAGTAGGCCAAATTAGCTGCATTTTCTAACAAAGTGAAAGGTAAACTAAGAAGAAAAAAAGATACAACGCAATATAGCTAGCTCTCTCTGCTGCTTCTCAATTTGACTAAATTAATTTGTTCAAAACTTTACAACTATTGTCTTTCTCTCACTTTGAGTCAACTACTCACCATACTTTATGCACTGCAGTCCTAGCTAGCTGTAGCTTATACTTTCAGTACTTGATTCATTTTCTGATCCTTTGATTGGATGGACAACATTTTTAGCTCATACTGCAAGAGCTCTGATGGTTTGGATGACGTCCCCCGAAGTCGTCATAATTACTGTGTAAGTCTATGGAAGGGGGTGAGAACCATGAGCCTCCTAGGTTTTGTATTGAAGTTAATGTAAACAGAGGAGGACATAAAATAGCTGTCCTCCGGCTACACCATGGTGCTACCCTAGAGGATGCTGTTGAGGCTAATGTTCATTGCAAAACAGTGTGTTTTAATCAGTTATTTGGTGACGTGAATATGTTTAGTATAGTTTTATCTAAAAAGGGTACATTTTTTTGAATGTTTCATTTTTTAATTATGAAATTCACTGAGTAGGATGGTCCTACCCTTCCTCCTCTGAGGAGCCTCCACTGACACACACACACACACACACAGAGAAACACACACAACCCATGACACCCACTATCCACAAACAATGAAGATTCATTCTATTCCTCTGTTCTAATGAAATGCTCTCATCATAAATATAATTTGCTAGCCCTAAATGACCACTGATTGCTTTCTACCTGTGTATTTACCCAGCATCTCTGTGTGTGTTTGTGTCTCTTTAGGTGGCTGCGGACCATTTCTGTCATCCTATTCCTCAACAAACAGGACCTGCTAGCAGAGAAGGTGTTGGCTGGGAAATCAAAAATCGAAGAGTATTTCCCAGAGTTTGCACGCTACACCACACCGGATGATGGTGAGAAGTTGATACACTTGACTGGTTGTTAACTGTACACACACCCCCACAGAGCACTTCTGCTTTTAGCCACAGTAGGTGGCTCCTGAATGTTCTTTCCTGTGGCTGATAAGTAATCGCCATAGCGAACTGTGTCACTGACCATGTGTGATGGTGTACTAGAATCCAATCATAACACTCATCATCAGTCTCTCACGCTTCTATAGCAACACCAGAACCAGGGGAGGATCCACGCGTCACGAGGGCAAAGTACTTCATACGAGATGAGTTCCTGGTAAGTGCAGAAATTCCAATGTCTCCCCTGCTAATGTTATCTAGAATCTTATGGTATTGATTACAAAATAGGATCTAATCACAACAAAAGATGCCAAATGAGATGACTTTCTCTTACTCATATTGAATAAGTGAGCAGGAAGGGTAACATGCAGTAAGTGTTAGATTTGTTATTGAGTCAAGTGGATGATGTCCCGATGGTGCTAGTACTCTGTTGTCTCATTGTGCTTCACTGTGATTTCAGAGGATCAGCACAGCCAGTGGAGACGGCAGGCACTATTGTTACCCGCATTTTACCTGCGCCGTCGACACGGAAAACATCCGCCGGGTCTTCAACGACTGTCGGGACATCATTCAGCGGATGCACCTTCGGCAGTACGAGCTCTTGTGATTGGAGGGGGCTGCAACACAGACTCTGAACCCCCACCTCCGGTCCCTCCCTGACCCCCCCTGAAACCCACCCCTGTCGCCCTGACTCTGTGTGCTCTTGGGAACTCCTGAAGTCAAACTAGATATGAGAGCTACAGCGCAACCTGGAAAGAGTATTGAAACACTGCAAAACACAGAATACATTCAAGCCAGATCAGCTGAACTCCACTGCAATTTAGCACTGTGCTCAGGACTTGAACCCATTTCACCACACACACACACGAGTACGCACGCTGACATGGCACCGGACCCACTTTCTTTCACAATCTCAGTTCATATTTTGACACACACAGACACACTCTTAGACACACTTGCTCTCAATTTACCCATAACTGCTTGCATACAGAAAAAGAACACACATGCTTTTACTTGACTGCATGGTCACTGGTCCTGAACTGAGCAAGTGGAGAGTCTTAGCTGCTTGCCGTCTGCAGCCACAGATTGACTGGCTCAGTACTTTCAATGAATCACAGCCAAAATACCTACCAGGAGCAATTTCAATGACTGACAATGATCCAGAGAAGCATCATGGTGAGCAGGGCTTGGGGGAGGGGAATATCTATGTGAATTTGGCGGAGCTTGGATACCATGACGCCCACAGGATTGTCACATGACTTTGCCTTGTTGGTACAGCAGCGGGAGGAAAAAGGCCAACGTTCACAGAACTCAACGGAGTGCAAAGCCCATATACAGTACAGTACCATATAAGTTAAGAGAAGTCTGATCAGCCCTGTTTCTGTCTCCACAGTTTGTTTTGTCTGTGTAGGCTGTTGTGCCATTGTGCCCTGTGCGCTCTCACACTCTCTCTCTCCCCTCTCCCACTCTCTCTTTCACTCCTCCCTGTCGTCTCTCTTAACTTCACCACATACCATGCACTGTTACTTTACTGGCAATGCTCTTTGTTTTTAAAGAAAAAAAGTAATCCTGAAATTTAAAAAAATAGGAAGAAGATAATTATAAATGGGACACTAATCTTTAGTCATGTGGTCACCCCCCTTCCTACCCCTTCCTTGGTTTCCTCCATCTCCCTTAACCCCCCTCCCACCCTCCTACACTAACCCTCCTTCCTCCTCCCCAGGCTCTGTGTATCTCTTTACTTTACTGCTGAACTATTATTCTTGTACAGACTGTAAAATGTATTATTTTGTACAACTTTATTGAAAAAAATAACTTTAAGAAGATCCCTGTGCCTTGATCACGACTGTACGTGTATAATGAGCTAAAGTGGGTGTTATACTGCGCTGTATAGTTTGGCCAGTTTCCCCCCTCTCTCCCAAGGGAAGAGGAACAACCATTCCTAGCTTTAGATGTTTATTTCTCTCCCCCATCTCCCCTTTATGATTTAAATGTCTATTTTTGGATCCATATACCAAAAAAATATAAATATATGAAATGTCTATGGATTTAAAAAAGTATTTTATTAGAATCAAAGAACCTTGACACATTGTACACTTGATATAGTGTGCTTATTGCTATAACTTAAATCCTTTTCGATTAGGTTTGTTTCATTAGCGACATCTGCAAACAACATGAAGGGTGAGTGTTTATTTACCATTTTTATTTTCATTTATAGCTTTAAGGTAAAAGGTAATGAGAAATATCAAAATGCAAAACATTGCTTGTTTCTACATGAATCTTTCTTTTGCTAAAGAAAAGAAAAAAGAAAATGGTATTGTTTTGGGGTCCTTCCTAGCGTTGCACAACAGAGGCGGACTGTACAGTATTACTTTCACTTCAATGCCCTAGTTTTCATTTACTGTGTACATCAGAAATGGGTCTCTACTTTCAGAAGAGGAGCTCTGCGAAATAAAGGTTTTTGGTGCAGACAGCAACAGGCCATTCCTTACACACAACCACAAGGACAAACCTACACCAGATACACCCATGACATTTCATTCATCCATCTTTAGCAATGTCTCGTTATGTCCACTGTATTTACTTAGACAGCTCTTGAGCTCCTCATACAGTGCCCCACACTGTTACTTCACTGCTTTTCACAGATAGCGTTTTACCCTCAGTTCCATTTGACATTCTGTTGCATCTATCACATGCATCCCGACTCTATTCAATTCTGTCTTTATGTTTCCCATCCAAGGCGATAGAACGGTCTTTCCCAATTTAACCCAGACACAGGTATTCACCACATAGCTTTTTTGTACAAATTCACAGTTATAGTTTATGAAAATATTAACATCGGTCTCTTTCAGAGCATGGTTCTCTGGGTATTTACCTATACATTGTAATCTTGACCTACACCATGACAATGGTTGATTAATGTATTTCTCATCAGGAGTGTAGCTTAGAGAATTACAAGATAATTAAAAACTTCAGTAATTGAATGTATATGAGGGGATGCAGTATGTTTCAATTGCATCTATTGACGAGTGAGTCATTAGTTCAAGGTCAAAGGAAGTGAGAGGAAAGAGGCAGGATTCTGATGAAAAGGGAGGAGTGCTGGATTACATTTTTTACATTTTTGTCATTTAGCAGATGCTCTTATCCAGAGCGACTTACAGTTAGTTAGTGGATAAAGGGTTTCTTCAGCCCAACATGAATGTCCCTTGATATGACACTGTTCAGTGCCATGCTCCTGAACACGAACACGAGGAGAACACTGCCAATGACACAACTGAGAGCAGAAGGTAGGTGTTCTATGTAGCATGATGGACAAGTCCTCTCAATGATATTGAGCAAGATCTACAGGGTGGTTGGCTCAAGAACTACACTGAGTATACCAAACCTCAGAACAACTTAAATTCCTCTCGGGGCATGGACTCTACAAGGTGTCGAAAGCGTTCCACAGGGATGCTGAACCATGTTGACTCCAATGCTTCCCACAGTTATGTCAAGTTGGCTGGATGTCCTTTGGGTGGTGGACCATTCTTGATACACAAAGGAAACTGTTGAGCGTGAAAAACCCAGCACTGTTGCAGTTCTTGACACAAACCGGTGCGCCTGGCACCTACTACCATACCCCGTTCAAAGGCACTTAAATATTTTGTCTTGCCCATTCACCCTCTGAATGGCACACATACACAATCCAGGTCTCAATTGTCTCAAGGCTTAAAAATCCTTCTTTAACCTGTCTCCTCCCCTTCATCTATACTGATTGAAGTGGATTTAACAAGTGACATCAATAAGGGATCATAGCTTTCACCTGGAGTCACCTGGTCAGTCTATGTCATGGAAAAAGCATGTTTTGTATACTCTGTGCATACTTTGTTTTTATCTATGGACTGAATGTTTGACATAGCTTGCTATTCCTGGTGACTGGGTGAGGGCTGGGTTCATGGTCTGTGATGCTCTGTGACACTAAACCATATCAGAATAGCCTCCATACTTTATGGTTTGACTGATTTATATGATATACAGTGCATTCGGAAAGTATTCAGACCCCTTCACTTTTTCCACATTTTGTTACGTTACAGCCTTATTCTAAAATGGATTAAATACAAATGTTCCTCATCAGTCTACACACAATATCCCATAATGACAAAACGAAAACAGGTTTTTAGAATTTTTTGCAAATTTATTAAAAATAGAAAACAGAAATACCTTATTTACATAAGTATTCAGACCCTTTGCTATGAAATTCGAAATTGAGCTCAGGTGCATCCTGTTTCCATTGATAATCCTTGATGTTTCTACAACTTTATTGGAGTCCACCTGTGGTACATTCAATTGATTGGACATGATTTGGAAAGGCACACCTGTGTATATAAGGTCCCACAGTTGACAGTGCATGTCAGAGCAAAAACCAAGCCATGAGGTCGAAGGAATTGTCCGTAGCACTCTGAGACAGGATTGTGTCAAGGCACAGATCTGGGGAAGGGTACCAAAACAATTCTGCAGCATTGAAGGTCCCCAAGAACACAGTGGCCTCCATCAGTCTTAAATGGAAGAAGTTTGGAACCACCAAGACTCTTCCTAGAGCTGAGCAACCAGGGGAGAAGGGCCTTGGTCAGGGAGGTGACCAAAAACCTGATGGTCACTCTGACAGAGCTCCAGAGGTCCTCTGTAGAGATGGGAGAATCTTCCAGAAGGACAACCATCTCTGCAGCACTCCACCAATCAGGCCTTTATGGTAGAGTGGCCAGACGGAAGCCACTCCTCAGTAAAAGGCACATGACAGCCCGCTTGGAGTTTGCCAAAAGGCACCTAAAGATCTCTGACCATGAGAAACAAGATTCTCTGGTCTGATGAAACCAAGATTGAACTCTTTGGCCTGAATGCCAAGCGTCATGTCTGGAGGAAACCTGGCACCATCCCTACGGTGAAGCATGGTGTTGGCAGCATCATGCTGTGGGGATGTTTTTCAGCGGCAGGGACAGGGAGACTAGTCAGGATCGAGGGAAAGATGAACGGAGCAAGAGATCCTTGATAAACCTGCTCCAGAGCGTTCAGGACCTCAGACTAGGGCGACTGTTCACCTTCCAACACGACAACACCCCTAAGCACACAGCCAAGACAACGCATGAGTGGCTTCGGGACAAGTCTCTGAATGTCCTTGAGTGGCCCAGCCAGAGCCCCAACTCGAACATCTCTAGAGAGACCTGAAAATAGCTGTGCAGCAATGTTCCCCATCCAACCTGACAGAGCTTGAGAGGATCTGCAGAGAAGAATGGGAGAAACTTCCCGAATACTGGTGTGTCAAGCTTGTAATGTCATACCCAAGAAGACTCAAGGCTTTAATCGATACTTCTAGATTTCTAAAAACATGTTTTTGCTTTGTCATTATGGGGTATTGTGTGTAGATTGAGGGTGGGGAAAAAAACTATTTAATCCATTTTAGAATAAGGCTGTAACTTAAAATGTGGAAAAAGTCAAGAGGTCTGAATACTTTCCAAATGCACTGTCATCATTTCCCCCATATGTTTGCTTGCTCATAGACAGCTGAATGCTCTAGTCCAGTGGTTCCCAACCAGGGGTACTAGGACCCCTGGGGGTACTTGGCCTATCCACAGGGGGTACTTTAAGACTCATGAGACCATAGGCCTACTGGTAAAATGCACTTGAGGGGGTACTTCAGGGGTACTCTGGGCAGAGCAAAATTCAGTTGGTGGTACAGTCACCGAAGAATGTTGGGAACCACTGCTCTATTCTACCACTTGATGGTGACAAATCTATGTATGTCAGAATCATACAGCCCTTTCTCCATAAGAATTATAATTTAGTTGTTCAAGCAAGCATTCATAGTTGAACCAGATGAAATCTGGCTGAAGGTGGAAGGATTAGTATTATCAACAGGTCATAGAGGGAGGAGCCAACTTTGTCATGCAGGAACTTTGAAACCTTGGTACTGTAGAATACAGCTGTGTTAGCAAGCGTATGAGGTATTACTCAATCTTTATAAACCTATACATCTTTAGATAAACTAAAACTAAATTGGGGCATGCATGAAAGACTGATTGTGTGGACACAGGCACACACACTCGTACCCAAAATCCGTCCCAACAATAATGCAAAACACTCACTGGGGCCATTTTAAACTTTCAAAGGCTGTACTTTACTTCTCAGCTTGGTTGTCCTAGCACCATGAATAAGACTGAAGCAAATCAACTTTCCACAAAAAAACATGTTTGGGGTTTATGCATTTAATTAATTATGATGCTACATGATCCATTATACTTTTTATTTCATGTATGTACATACAAAACCATTTCCAATTATTGTGGTTACAGTTGTGATGGTCTGAAGCTCCAATGCAGTTTTTTACGTAGTGTTCACAGCTCAATTCTCCATCCAGCCGCCCACAATCCAAGCCCCACAAAAAAATTGTTTTAAATACAAACACGTTGCGTGGTTCTTTAGACAGCTAAGACAGAAAACACCCCAACCGATAGCTAGTTCCGAGATGGTCCCTTTTGTTTAAAACACAGGAAGAAAGAAAACTATTGAGGTCATTTCCATGCTATTTGCAGAGTAGACGCTATATGTTAACTTGATTTGAATACAGTGCATACAAATATAATTACAAAACAATTATGCCTACATGATACTCAAAGCAAACAACTGAAGCAAAGCACGAGAACACAAAGTACTATCAAACTATATACACACCGTTATGAGTCCAAACCCATCCTTATATTTTAGTGTACTGTACGTCAAAAATGGATGTTGCATATTTCTCTTACTCCCCTGCAATCAGCTGATACAGGACTTGGATCACTTGCAGGCTTAACTTGAGATAAAACCATTTGCTGTCATCTGGAAAAGCTGCATCAGTTTTTCTCTCTGAAGATGACACCCATTTCATACTGACCCTGAGGAAAGCACTCGCATCCCGGGCCTTCGACCAAACGACAAGTCAGTCATTCTGTACCTTCACCTCAGACACTGTCACTAAATGAGTGTGTGTAGAACTAATTCACTGCAGCACGATGAGACGGTACATCTTCTGTGACTGAGAAAATCAATTACAAATTTGATTATTGGAAATAAAAAGCAACCTACTGTATTGGAAAGGGGTCTCTTTGGGACTAAATTATGGTTAACATTTTATTTTCAGTTACCCCCTAAATACATTTTCTGTTTTTATAAAGGAATAAGTTGGATGACTGGATTTACATAATTACCCCTTCTTGCTAAAATTCACCAGCAGCCTCTCAACTCACACACAACATACGTCTCCTTCCCTTAAAAAAGCAGTGATTAAAACATTCACACAACATCATAGAACTGTCACGTTAATTCTGCAGTAGGAAAAGCGTTGGCCTTACTGGAACACATTGCTATTATTGATACTTATAGATCACAACGTTGCCACTTCCTCACACAATAATTTGTACTGTATCTGTGCAAGTAGGAGTGGCAGGATAGAGAATAGTGATTAAAAGGCAAGACGACTCTTGATTACCTTCTTCGCTTTTTTATGTTAAAAAATGTCACTACTCAAATAAATTTGTGATATTGCATTATGCAACAACAAAAAAAGTACACATCCTGTTGTTGTTGTTGTTTTGTTCGGTCCTCCGAGCACGCTGCCGCTGGCTGTCTCTACAGGGCCAATTTCCCGATGATGACTCCGATGACGAAGAACAGCACGCAGAGCGCCAGCACGCGGGTACTCAGGCCCTCCTCCTTCATCATGGCCTGGGAGGAAGAGGAGTGGGGGGAGGACACCATGGGCGTGACCTTCCTCTTCCGCAGACCATCGTCCTCCTTGGTAAAGGGGGAGGAGTCACAGGCCAAATGCCAGTCAAACCATGTTGAATATAGAACAGCTGTTTTTTTTTGCAATAACAGTGAAACCGCAGTTACTGATCTCAAATCAGTCAATTACCCATCTCAACTAAGAAAGGAAAGGTCTTAAGTCTGCATTGTTACAGATGGTGCTGATAAAATGCATTGTGTAGAACAACAGATCTGATTGTTGTGGGTCCTAGGGACATTTGAGACTCACCCTTATCTGTTTGTTCTCTTCCCGTAGCCTCTGGACCTCCATCTGCAGTCTCTTGCACTCCTCCATGATCTTCTTCGCCTCCCCGTCATCCAGGGAGGAGCTGGCCGACTTAGGGAGTGAGGAGAGCTCTGACTTTATGGGAGTAGAGTACACATTTGTGTTGCTTTCACTGTCATGCTGTGGAGAGGAGTGGAGGAGACAGAAACATGCAGATGAATAACAGAATGGGGATGAGAAACACAAAAAACATGGCAATGGCTGCTTCAGAGACGCAATGGAGATGACAATCATTCAGGATCTGTTTGTGAATGGAATGAAGGTGCTCTGTGAATGCATCTTACACTAAGATGAAATCTATGAGGGAAGGAATATGAAGAAAAATACATGCAGTTGTATGTAGTGATATGATATAGTGACGTAGAGTACTTACAGTTTTGTCATTCTCTAGCGGCAGCTCAAATGCACATCTCAACTTGGAGTCCATCAGCTCCTCTGGCTTTGCCTCTTTCCACTGTCGGTGGGAAGGATAGAATGATAGAAAGAATGATAGAGAGAGAAGAAAAAGAGGGCAGACGGAAAAGTGAATTACCAGGCAACACCAAGATGACCACACCCAGCTAGGGAGTCTATGGCACTCATAAGATAAGCATATCCTGACAGCACATTTGTCCCACTTGCAACACCTAAATAAGTAGTGGCTTGAGACAGTAAGTACTAGTCACTCTGTGACCTAGAATTGCAGCTTGAATGGACTTACTGTGATCATCAGATCATAATTAGTGACATTCAGATGTATCACATTCCATTTGGACACTTACCACCCCTTCCATGTCAGTCATGTCATATGGTGCAAGCATGGACTGCACCATGAATTTGTGTTTGCTCTTTTCATTGGGATCATAGTCGAAAGGCTGTAGCATAACTGTAAAACAAAGCAGACAGTTAAATGCCACTGAGCAACCTCTTAGCAACAGCACAATGTGTTACCTTCCTTTGACCAGATCAACATACTATTAGTTCCTCTTTTTGAGATTTGTCAGTTACAATAATGTATAATCAAACAAAAAGATACCAACCAGATACATTGATGGAGGTGCCTGCGTCAATGATGCCACTGTTTGGACGGACACAGTATCGACGGGGCGCGGTCGTCTTGACTTTGAAACACACATTTCTATCTGTTGGGTTGCCTAGCTTCAGGGTGGCTGTGACAACATCTGTAAATGGACCTTGAAAAGATGGAGAGAGAACAGACAACAGATATCAATACTCGCTAGCTGACTCATCTATTATTATAGCTAACTTGCTGTTTTTCCAAACAGTTGGGGAGGACCATTTTATTTAGGCGACCCCACCTATTTTTTGCTATCTTTAGAATTATATCATTAGTTTTCATCTCTTTTGTTATAACTAATGATATAACTCTCAAAACCATTAATCAATTATAGCCCCTGTTCAATAATTCCATTACAAGCGGTAAAATGGTTCACCTCCGGACCTTACCATTCTGCTAGGACTCACTGATCCTGTGCCTGACAATTGTCAACAGTCACCTTTTGCTACTGCAGATTCTCTCAATCAATTCCTGGGGCTCCCCTAAGGGGTGCACATTTGTGTTTCAGCCCAACCATAACATACCTGATACAACTCGAGATTCCCCCAAAAATACGCCACTTTGATAGAACTACGACTGGAAGTAACTTTTTCGTAGACGGTTAGGCTAACTTACGCAGCAGGTTAGGAGAATTAAGTTAAGGTTAGGAAAAGGGTTAGCGAAAATGCGCTCAAACCTGCTACGAAAAGTCACTTCCGGTCCTAGCTGTATCGAAGTGACGTGTTCTTAGGGAGTCCGATTCAACTCATCAAGGGATTGTTCGTGTGTGCTGGGCTGAAACAAAAATGCGCACGCTCTGGGTTAGCCCCAGGAATGGATTGAAAAACACTATTCTCTGTATCCATTCGGGTAATTGTTTAATGGGAATTTCCCTAGTGTAGTCCTTGACTTTATAGAAAGTAGCTAGTTAGCTACTAACGTTAGAAATTATTTCATTAGTAGCTATAGAAATAAGTATTTATTTCCGGTGGCAACCGTTGACTCGCAAACCAGGGAGATCGTCATTATGATAGTAACTGAAAAGCATGCAACTGATATTGATTGAAGATATGACTCGAGCCTGCCTTTTCATTACAGGCTAAGCTAGAAAATGACAGCTAGGCATTAGCCTGTTAGTATCCGTAGGTAGAAGACGTCGGTATGCAATGGCGCTTCACTTGTCACCACTCTAGAAACCAAATAGGAAATATGATACACCGTGTGCAGACCCATCTTTTCACAATGAAGTTAACGTCAACAACACTATTGTTAATACATTAGCTAGGAACGATGGTCAAATACTTGCAGACCAAACTATCAGGCCCTGCCCTAGTCTTACCTCTAAATTTCAATTCGTGTGGTGGCTCAAGCTGGAGGACTTGTTCTTGTCTGGCCATGTCCCAGAGGTTCGGAAGCCTTTCTGATATAAATTACCTGGACTATATGTCGCAGCTGTTGTTATTATGGTTATTGTAAATGCTCCTGAATACGACCTGACTTCGGTAAGGGATAGCTAAGCTAGCAAGCAGGAAGGAAGGAAGGGCTCCGTGTGACGTCATGGGAGGGGGGCAGGTCTGTGGAATGTCAGCGAAGATATTTTCTGTCAAGTTGTTACATTTTTGCAGGGTTATTTTTAAATGACCTGGACAAATGAAAGAGCAAATACGAACAACCTCTGCTCTGATCTGGCTGCTAATTGAGAATGTAAAGTCAATTTAATTTAGAACAGGGGTGTCAAACTCAGGGCCGCACAGAAAATAGGTGGGTGCTACACTTCTGGTAGTGGACGATCCAGGCTACCCTCAAAGGAGGAGCTGTGAACGTCGAGTACGTTGGGGAGGACATGCTCGTGGTAATGGCTGGAGAGAATATTTGGAATGGTATCAAATACATCAAACACATGGTTTCCATGTGTTTGATGCCATTCCATTACCTCCGTTTCGGCCATTATTATGAGCCGTCCTCCCCTCAGCAGCCTCCTGTGACTGCTCCAGGGCCTATCTGTCTGATGTTTTCCTCCTCCCTGCACCATCAGTGCTCCCTCCGCTCAAGATACTACTTTTCCGAACTGCTTATCACCTGAAGTTCTGGAAGACCAACACACTAGCGACTTTGAGATTCTACTCCTAATGAAAAGGGGTATATAAAATTTACATTTTAGTCATTTAGCAGACGCTCTTATCCAGAGCGACTTACAGTTAGTGAGTGCATACATGTTTTTATTTTTTATACTGGCCTCCCGTGGGAAACGAACCCACAACCCTGGCGTTGCAAGCGCCATGCTCTACCAACTGAGCTACACAGGAAAATCAATATATTATTATTATTATTATTATTATTATTATAATTGCGGCAGGTAGCCTAGAGGTTAAGAGCGTTGGACCAGTAACCAAATGGTTGCTGGTTTGAATCCTTGAGCCGACTAGGTAAAAAATCTGTCGATGTGCCCTTGATCAAGGCACTTCATCTTCTGCACATCTATCACGCCAGTGTTAATACTAAATTGTAATTATTTTGCACTTTGGCCTATTTATTGCCTTACCTTCATAACTTACTACATTTACACACACTGTATATAGATTTTCTATTTTTCTATTGTGTTATTGACTGTACGTTTTCGTTTATTCCATATGTAAAAAAATAATAAAAAAAGAAAGAAATAAATGTAACTGTGTTGTTGTTTTTATCGCACTGCTTTGCTTTATCTTGGCCAGGTCGCAGTTGTAAATGAGAACTTGTTCTCAACTGGCCTACCTGGTTAAATAAAGGTGAAAAATAAATAAAAAATAACCCTAATGACCAAAATGTGTATTATTATTATTACATTTCTTATCCAGAAGGGGGAGCACCATGGAATACCACCCACTAGGGGAATAATATTACGTCATACAGCCTTAACCAGGAAGTAAGAAAAACAACAATCGGCGAGAAGAGTGACACGATAACCTGTAGTTAGCCTGAAACGTTTTAAAAGGACCTTATTTCCATATAGTTTAGAGTTTTAGATCCCAGAATGTCCGTGTTTGGGAAGCTGTTCGGCGGTGGGGGCAAAGGAGGGAAAGGGCCGAGTCCACAAGAGGCGATTCAGAAACTCCGAGACACAGAGGAGATGTTAGCGAAGAAACAGGACTTTCTAGAGAAAAAGATTGACCAGGAACTCATAACTGCAAAGAAAAACGGCACTAAAAACAAACGAGGTGAGTCGCCAACTAACATCACATGTGCATCGTCACGATTCTTGTCTAACTTGGCTAGCTAATGAAGCTAGCTATTTAAAGTTCGCCTGTTTGTTAACGTTAGCTGCCTTGGCTAGTTAGCCAGATAGTTGCTAACTTTCCGAGCGGCCACGGCTGTCACTGAATAGTCAGGTTGCCAGGCTCGCCCTATCTCGTTGCCACAACTGTTACATTTTAGTCATTTAGCGTGTTAGAACAGCAAAGATTCATTATACCCGTGTAAAGGTGCGTTTTGTGTTAGTGACTCTGGTATCAAAAGTCTGGATACAGCATCAACAAGTTACGGAATTGTGTGTGAATCATGAATTTGCCTGTTCCTCAAGATAAGGGAAGGGGCCACCCGTCCATTCAGACAGTATCGACTTAATAATAATTTATTACATTGTTAAAGCGCTTTTCATTATACAGAATAATCTCAAAGTGCATAAAATACAAACCAAATAGAAGAAGAAAAAAAACTAGACACGGCAACTTCACAGTTATGACTAAACTAAACACCCAGTTACCAGTGTTGCCAATTTAGCGACTTTGTCGCTATATTTAGCGAGTTTTCAGACTCCTCTAGGGACATCTTTTTTTTTTAAAGCGACTAGCGGCAAATCTAGCGACTTTTTCTGGTGTTAATGGAGACTCTGACGTGAAAGCAGGTATCGTTCTTACTCTTCTCAACGAGCAGCGGGTGCTTTGTTACCGCCGTCCCAAAGCACTCACAGGCCGCCCAGTCCTCACGCAGCAGTCCCTCCCAGCTGGAGATGTTCACCATTCCGCGTCCAGACTGCAAATGAATCGCGCATGCGGGAAGCCGCCGCTGGCTGATCCCGCCCTGGCTTACATTCAGGGCGGGATGTAAATGTAGGGTGTTTTTTTACGCACTTTTTGTCTCTCCCACCACTTTATTCCTCTCTCTTACAGCTTCCACACAATTACATGCACATGGCCCATTATGCAAATTAGGTGATGGCGTCATTTAGCGACTTTTAGGACAGCCAATAGCTGTTACACGGCCTGTAGTGATGATTAGTAACCTAATTCTGATGGCTGACAGAGGCTCCAAGTGACTCCTGTCATTGGTCGCGTTCCCCTGTTCAGACGTTTCATGCATTAACCAGTGGTTGCGTGCTACGTCATCGACTGTGTCATCGACTGACAGATTGCTATAAAATAGGATGGGGTTAGCTGAGACATAAAATACCTATCCGGGCGTTGTAAAATCTGGCATGCGTCAGCAACGCCTGGGCAGAGGAACACGCCCAATGTCTTCAGTGGTGTTCATGACATAGGCTAGCATAGCCCAATAATGGACTAAAGGAGCCTTACTCCTTATAGTCCGAGGACCTTACATGTTCTGTTTAGAGGCAAATTGGTGAATTTAACCTGTTTTAACACAGTTGCAGTTTACAGTATTCTTCAGTGACAGCATGTGTGTGGCATCCGTCTTCCATTTACACACAGGAGTTCGGAGACCCAGATAGCTAATTAGTACAGGTAATCGACTCAGTTTTTCATAAACAAGCGCTGTAACATGGACATTTAGCCGTGTGGGAACCCTAACAAAATAAAGGTGTGTGGTAATTTAACATTTAGCTTTTCGAAAATTATTTCTCGCTGATATGAAAGATAAATTCCTTATGTTTCCAAAACCGTACCGCAAGCGATGCGTTTTAACGTTCAGAATGAGCACCGAGCTCTTAACCAAACTCCCCTGGCCAGAATATACTATCGTTAATAGGCGCTAAAGGCAGTTAGCGTCTATGAATGGGTTAAACATTGATCTGTGACAAAATATAAACGCAACATGCAACAATTTCAAAGATTTTAACTGAGTTACAGTTCATATAAGGAAATCAGTCAATTGAAATAAATAAATTAGGCACTAATCTATTGATTTCACATGACTGGGAATACACATATGCATCTGTTGGTCACAGATACCTTAAAAAAAAAAAGTAGGGGCGTGGATCAGAAAACCAGTCAGTATCTGGTGTGACCACCATTTGCCTCATGCAGCGCGACACATCTCCTTCGCATAGAGTTGATCAGGCTGTTGATTGTGGCCTGTGGAATGTTGTTCCACTCGTCTTCAATGGCTTTGCGAAGTTGCTGGATATTGGTGGGATCTTAAACACGCTGTCATACACGTCGATCCAGAGCATCCCAAACATGCTCAATGGGTGACATGTCTGCAGAGTATGCAGGTCATGGAAGAACTGGGACATTTTCAGCTTCCAGGAATTGTGTACAGATCCTTGCGACATGGGGCTGTGAATTATGCTGAAACATGAGGTGATGGCGGCGGATGAATGGCACGACAATGAGCCTCAGGATCTCGTCACAGTATCTCTGTGCATTGAAATTGCCATCGATAAAATGCAATTGTGTTCGTTGTATGTATGTCTGCCCATACCATAACCCCACCACCACGGGGCACTCTGTTCACAACGTTGACATTAGCAAACCGCTTGCCCACACAACACCATACACGTGGTCTGCGGTTGTGAGGCAGGTTGGACGTACTGCAGAACTCTCTAAAACGACGTTGAAGGTGGCTTATGGTAGAGAAATGAACATTCAATTCTCTGGCAACAGCTCTGGTGGACATTCCTGCAGTCAGCATGCCAATTACACACTCCCTCAAAACTTGAGACATCTGTGGCATTGTTGTGACAACTTCACATTTTAGTAGCCTTTTTTGTCCCCAGCACAAGGTGCACCTGTGTAATGATAATGCTGTTTAATCAGCTTCTTTATATGCCATGAACCTACTAACCACTTCTATTCCCCTTTCACTATGCACAGCGGCCCTGCAGGCCTTGAAAAGGAAGAAGCGGTATGAGAAGCAGCTTACCCAGATTGATGGCACATTGTCCACCATCGAGTTCCAGAGGGAGGCGCTGGAAAATGCCAACACCAACACTGAAGTGCTCAAGAACATGGGCTTTGCCGCCAAGGCAATGAAGGCTGCCCATGAAAACATGTAAGCAAGGGGCACATTACTTGTTTATTAGCTTTGGCCAGGTGCAGTCATACAGCTTTTGTATTTATTCAAATCTTTATGTTCCCCTGTCCTTTTGTTTTAGGGACATAGACAAAGTAGATGATTTGATGCAAGACATTACTGAGCAGCAGGAGCTGGCGCAAGAGATCTCAGATGCCATCTCAAAACCTGTAGGCTTTGGAGAGGAGTTTGATGAGGTAGGTGACATTAACTTGTGTTGCACATTATTCTTTATTTGTCTTATCAGTGCTGTTAGTTCAATAGTTGACCAGATATCACAGAATTTTTTAAAAAAATATATGCCATTTAGCAGACGCTTTTATCCAAAGCGACTTACAGTCGTGCGTGCATACATTTTTGTGTATGGGTGGTCCCGGGGATCGAACCCACTACCTTGGCGTTACAAGCGCCGTGCTCTACCAGCTGAGCTACAGAGGACCAGATATCTCAGAGACTGGATGTTCTGTTTGTCTTGCATCATAGGATGAACTCCTGGCAGAGTTGGATGAGCTGGAACAAGAGGAATTGGACAAAAACTTGCTGGAGATCGGCGGGACAGAAGATGTCAGTCTACCCAATGTGCCTTCTACTTCATTACCCACCAGACCTGGTGAGTCCTTTTGGAATATACAGTAATATGCAATAAAACAAGGAAATCCTCCATGGGAACATTTTATGCCATGGTTACTGTCCCAACAGAACATTAAATAACTAATTGATCTATTGTAATTTACCCCTTTATTGCTGTAAAACCTTAATATTTGCCACGTTTACTCAATTAATTCACAATATCTGTATGCGTTTTTTCTTTTAGCCAAGAAGAAGGATGAAGACGAGGATGACATGGAGGACTTACAGCGCTGGGCGATGGAGGCCATGTAGTTCCATTACTGACACCACCTGCTGTAGAGGGAAAGAAAGGACTTATGAAATACTGAATATGGTTGTTTTGTGTACAAGGAGAACCAACCACCTTCTAAAACTAGCACTACAAAGGCCAATGCTGTAGGTTCTGTTTCCCGCCCAAAACCAGAGAAAGGGTACCATGGCCTTGCATAAAAAGTGGAAGTATAGAACCTGTATAAAAGCTATAAACAGGATGTTTGAATCAGAATACATTTGTTTCTACAAAAAAGTTTTACATCAACCCCCACTCTTGCATTTGGGCAGTTATTGTAATATCACTGAACTGTTCTATTGCCTTTGTCTGTGGGATGCTATGAACAGCACTCAAAGACAAATTTACTTTTTAGTACATGGGAGTTGCAATGTCTATTTTTCAGACTTAAACATATTTACTGTTTGGTGGGCGTGGGCTGGATGTTTTTATTAGTACTTACTTTTTGTTTGTAATTTCTACCAAAATAGGATGAAAAATGAGCATGCTCTCATGGTAACGTTTAGAATGGTCTATTTTCAGGATTGTTATTCTGAAACTTTTGTTTTACAACATTTTGACTATTCCATCTCCAAAGCATCCTCACCATGTGACACTTGTGATTTGAAGTAAATATCTAAATCATTTATATTTTTGCTGTCACACAAGGTTTTCTTCATGTTGTGCTAAGCATGCAATGAGGGGAAAATCTTAATACACCGCACGGCTTTTGAGAAAGACTAACCCCACCCTGTTCTGTTGTCTTTTCTGAAAAAGTTTATTTTTAATTGTATGTTGAAAAAAATGTCTACTTATTAACTGCAGCAAAAAATATGATGGTTTGTAATGAATAGACTAGTAGATACAGTATCAACATTTTGGATTTGAGGATTAGTTGTATTTTTTTTAAACAATGTATTTTTAAAATAAATACTACATAGCAAAAAAATATGTAACAAGGATAAGCATGTTTGCATTTCTATGGTTTATTTATCCAGATGAGAATATTATTTGGCAAATAATTAAAGTTTTTGATTATTTTATTGTGGTTGCTTTTCTTGCTTAGGGATCAGTGTACAAAACAATAAGAGAATCTGTGAATTCAAAGCTCAATAAAGTATAAAAGCTTTATTTTATTACTTTGAAATCATTTTCAGGTGTTTTTGGTTTAATGTTTTGCAATGTGTCTGATATTGCTGTAATTTCAGGTAGGGGATTCTGAGTCCAATCAAATGTTATTTGTCACATGCTTTCAAACAACAGGTGTAGAACAAGTGAAATGCTTATAGGCCCTTCACAACAATGCAGAGAGAAAAATAGGGAAAGAATAGAAAGATAACATGAGGAATAAATACACAATGAGTAAAGATGACTTGGCTATATACACGGGGTACCAGTACTGAGTCGACATGCAGGGGTACGAGGTAATTGTGGTAGAAATGTACATATACAGCGCATTCGGAAAGTATTCAGACCCCTTGACTTTTTCCACATTTTATACGTTACAACCTTATTCTAAAATGTATTAAATAAAACAATTTCCTCATCAATCTACACACAATACCCCATAACGACAAAGCAAAAACCTTTTTTATTTTTTTAAAATGGCAAATGTATATTTCGAAAATGATATATACCTTATTTACATAAGTATTCAGACCCTTTGCTACGAGATTCGAAATTGAGCTCAGGTGATCATCCTTGAGCTGTTTCTACAACTTGATTGGAGTTCACCTGTAGTAAATTCAATTGATTGGACATGATTTGGAAAGACACACGCCTGTCTATATAAGGTCCCATTCACAGAGAGTTCGGGGAATGGGAAATGGCGGCGGGTAGTATGGACGAAATGGAGAAAAAAAAAGTTGGTGAAGCAACAACTGTGCTGGAACGTGAACAATATGGGTGTCAGTTCTGATGGTATGGAGCGGGAGGATGAGGGTCAAGGACCGGAATGGTCAGTAGTGGAAAGACATAGGAAGAAGAGAGATCATGATACAGAAAGCAGTGGAGTGTCTAGTAAAGAAAGCATAAAGAGGGCCAAGGTAGGAAGCAAGAGTAGTGATGTGTTGGAGTGGAAAGTGGTGATAGTGTTTGATGAGACCACGGCCTCACTTACACCCTATCCGACTAACTAATGCCGTAGAGAAAGAGGTAGGTGAAGTGGAATTATCTTGGTTCATTGGAAATGGTAGATTGTTAATATTGTGTGGTAGCCAGGGTCAGCAAGAGAAGATTTTGAAAATGGAAAAGCTTAATGGGAAGAAGATTAAAAGCCATGTCCCTGGTCAGGGACGGCCTGTTCAATAGGGCGATATGGGCGACGCACTGCCAAACGGGAAAAGGAAGGGATTTTTTTTCTAATCAATTATATCACGGCAACAGTAGTTATCAGTGTTGTAATCTGATCTGACTGCCACTAAATGTCAAATCAGGCTAAAGTCGTGCTTCAAATGGCCCCGCCCGTTTTTGGGCGATTTCAGTCAGGTTGAAAATCGCCCAGAAGTCTCTCATAGCCTGTCATGTAAAATCTATTTTTTTCAAATTTCAAAGCTTTCAATACATTCTCTATGGGTGTCTGTGGGCTTGCACTTACGCGCTTTCGTCATACGTGACGTAACCATGAACGTAACTAAGCAAATAGCGGCTAGCAGCGTCTCTTTGCGACCTGCAGTGTGGCGTTATTTTATGTTTTTAATTTGTACACTTAGTGGCGTTATTTTATGTTTTTAATTTGTACACTTAGTTTACAAACATTCTGCCAACCATGGATTTCGAGTGGTGGGTTTTGGACTGATCTTGTTGATCGTGTACATACCCGCTACGAACGGACTAAATAATGAAAACGTTGCTGGCAGCGGAATCCAATACAGCTGGGAGACTTGGCTGGATGACAGAGTCCCGGACAGAGAAGTGGAGCCGGCCGGCTTCACCCTGGTCGGAGCGGACCTCGATCTGACAGTCACAGGGAAAATCGATCCTGGTAAGAGAGCGACTCTGTACCCCCGAGCCCCGACATTGAACTGCTTTCTGTGTCACTGTGACCTTACTATCTGCCCCGTGAGTTCCCCCAATTGTTTGTTACCGTTGTGTACTGTTGATAATCACAAGTTTACTGGAGAACTGAGACCAAGTAGAGACTTTGGACAGGGTGGATATGCACAAGATTTTAGTCAGACCAAGCTATAACATTATATATTTACTACGACAGTACATTCAACCAAAAGCTAATATAACAAAGGCATCAGAGATTATTTATAATCTGTCACAGAAACTGGAATCCATCTCCCCAGATCAGTCAATAAATGCTTCTGGTATTGACTTATATGCTGCCCCTGTCTTCATGTTGTTGCTGGACATATCTTTTTTAAAATGTGTGTAGGTCACCTAAATCATCAGAAAAATTGCCCCTCCTGAGAATTTTTTCAGGAGCCGCCACTGTCCCTGGTGCTTATGCTAGATTGAAGGGAGTCATCACTGGGGTCCCAATATTTATGTCCAAAGATGATATTAAAGAAAATGTGAAGGGAGGCAGAGTGATTGAGGCCAAAAGGTTGATCAGTAGGAAAGAGGGTCAAAGAAGTGAAAGCTTATCAGTGATGCTGAGGTTTGAGAAAGTCTTGCTGGGAAAAGTACGGCTATATTTATCTTATCACGGCTTGTGTACTTTCTCTAGTTAATTCCTTCTCCTCAGAGATCGCCCAGGATGATTTGCTCCACATCACCGGTGGGCAGCGCTACAGCTCCCCCCTTGACGAACTAATATTTACTCTCAATAGTCTTTCGTACACTCAAATTTAAAATAAATACATCACTGAAGGCTTATCAAGCCATATGAAAAATTTATGGAGATTTACTTACATAATATTGATCTTGAAACAAAATGAAATGAATTAAAACTGACTGACATCTTAGTAAGCAATCAAATGACAAACAAAAACCCACATTTTGTGTGCTTACGTTGGTTAATGTTCACATCCAAAACTCGCCACTACAAACAGTATGGCCCTATGCAATATCACCTATATGCGGTGTTCAGATAAACGATTGCATGAATAAACTCACCAGTTGAAAAAGTATATGGCTTCATTAGCCTACTACTGAATAAGCAAGACGAGTGGCGAGCTCAGGAGAGAGAGAGAGAGAGAGTACCGGGCGACACAGAGCATAACGAGTGACGGTGGATGGTGGTTGGAAGTGCAACCTTATTTGAAATGGAAAAGTGTTGCGGTAGCTATTGATAAAGCAGAACATCAATATGCGTTCTGTGGGATGCACTGTTGAGCGCTACATCCCGAGGGTTTCGTGCTGATTGAACGAAGATTGTGACAGCCGGTTAAATGGCATCCCTTGAGAAGGCAAGAACAAGATGTATGTCAGGAGAACTGCAGCACTATCATAAGGAGACGTATACTTGGAATACGGAGGAATGGAGGGAAAAAGAGAGGCAGAGGAGGTCTAAGAGAGAGAGGGAGGAAGAGGGTGAGATTGAGTCGGTAAAAAATGGCGGGGAAAAGGGTAGATGGTTTGTTAAAGAAGAATGGTAGAAAGTATAAGCAGAGTGAGCTGAAGATAGGAGGAGAAATGGAAGTGAATGAGGGCGAAGTATTGGTGGTGGTAGGTGTGGTGAAGTTCTTGGAGCCCGAGGATTGCACCGAGGGTCAGGATAAAGATGAGTCTGTGACAGTAGGAGTGAAGTTTTTGGAAAAGTTGGAACCTTGTCTTTTGGCTGATCCATTTGTGGTTTCAGGGTGGGTGAAAACAGAGTTGCGTGCTGTGGAATCGGTGAGGGTAACCAGAAGTGGTCTTGTGATAATTGTTTGTGTTTCTGCTTGTCAGAGGGAGCAGGCGCTCCGCGTTAAACGAATGGGGGCAAGAGATGTGAATTGTTTTGCTCTCAAGAAAGGAGTGATTACTGGGGTAGCAGTAAATGTAAAAGTTGACCAACTGAAGCGGAAGATTCCCGGTGTTTGTGATGCTCTTCATTTGGTGCGACGCAGACAGGGTGGCGTGAGTGGTGAAACAGAAGAGTCATTGTCTGTTCTTTAGAGTTTTGATGTTGAGTCTTTGTCCGACAAAGTGACGTTAGGATATATAAGTTATCCTGTAAGAGCTTTTGTGCCGAATACATTACGTTGTTACAGGTGTCAAGCTTATGGGCATGTGGCAGCAGTGTGTAGGAGGGAGGTTCCTAGGTGTGAGAAGTTTGCAGAAGGGCATGAGACAAAGGAATGTGTAGCATTGGGGAAAGTAGTGGTATGTGTTAATTGTAGGGGTGCCCATGGGGCTGGGGATCAGAAATGTCCTTTGCGAGAGAGGCAGGTTGAGGTTTCCAGGGTTAGAGTACTGCAGAAGTTGTCATATGCTGAGGCAGTGAAGAAAGTAGAGGAAGATGGGTCAAGGGGGAGGGATCCTGAGAGGAGTGGTGTGAGTAGTAGATCTGTACCAGTACAGAGGGATAGGCCAACAAGTGATATATGTTTCAGTAAGATTGGATTTTTAGCATTTATAGCAATGGTTATCAATTGTACTGCCGGGATTTAACGTAAGTTACAGAAAATGGAGGTCGTGGTGGCAGCTGCAGAGAGGTATTTGGGTGTGCAAGACTTGACATCAGAAGAGTTACAGGGTGTGTTAAGTGGTGGTGTCTCATCTTTTCAGGTTGTTGGCCTGAGGTAGGACTAAATTGATTTAAATAGTGGAGTAGGGTGGTTGTCACAACTTACGCCGAGGCTGCCTCCCCTCCTTGTTCGGGCAGGTTTCGGCGTTCGTTGTCACCGGCTTACTAGCTACTGCCGCTCCCATTCTCATCACTCCACTTGTCTTGTCTTGTCAATCACACACACCTGGTGCTCGTCCCCTAATTAGTCTGTGTATAAGTGTTCCCTCTGCCCCCTTGTCTTTGTGAGTGATTGTTCTATGTGGGAGCAGAGTAGCTTGGTTGAGATACTCTCTCATTTATTTTGCCAGGGTTGATTTTCCCCTGTGTCATTACATTTATTGTATTTTCTTAGACTGTGTTTGGTCAGGGAGGATTGTTTCCCCTGTACCTGTTTCGAATCGCCATTGTAGGCGCATTGTATGTCTGGAAGGAATTAATCTGCATCCGGTTATTTTACTCCTGCGCCTGACTCCGTCCATCATTCACCA